TTACTTGAGTCAGTCTGCTGTATCCCGAGTATACAGACAATATCAAGAGACTGGAACATTCACTCGGAGACCAACAACCAGTCGCCACGGTTGTACTTCTGAATGAGACGACCGTTTCATTGTTTCAACCTCCCTGCGAAATCAGCACCTTACGGGTGTCGACGTGCAGGGTGAGCTGAGACGTGTTCGAGGAATAGCTGTCAGCGAGTGGACAGTAAGAAGACGTCTGATGGAAGCCAACCTGACTCCAAAAAGGCCTGCAACGGGCCCCAACTTGACTGCAGGCCACCGGAAAGCTCGGCTACAGTTTGCTCGAGAGCATCTTAACTGGAGCATTGAGCAATGGCGGTCGTCCTGTTGACTGACAAGTGTAGAATGTGTCGGCATGGCAGTGACAAGAGAGGCTGGGTCTACAGGCGTCCGGGAGAGCGATTTTCCCAAGGCTGTTTCGCAGAAACCGTTGCCTATGGCGGCGGTTCTTGCATGATGTGGGCGGGTATCTCTTTGGAGGGTACAACCTAGCTCGTTTTCATGCCTGGAGGAGGCCGAGGAGCAGGACTGACAGCTGATGGGTACATTACAAATATTCTCCTGGAACATGTTGTGCCCTACGCAGGATTTATTGGCGAAGACTTCATCCTTATGCACGACAATGCTCGATGCCACACAGCGCGGCTTGCTCAGCAGTTTCTTCGAGAAGTCGATTTGCGCACAATGGACTGGCCTGCGCTTAGTCCAGACATAAATCCCATCGTGCATGTATGGGATGAGCTCAAACGAAGGGTACGAGCAAGGAATCCAGCCCCTTCGAGCCTTGAATAATTGAAGGCAGCTTTGTTAGAGGAATGGGAAAGTATTCCTCAAGACACCGTCAAAATTTAATAAGGTCGATGAAGAACCGAATACAGTCTGTAATTAGGGCTAGGAGGACAATACGAAATACTAAACCAATAAGTTTTATACTTCTTAAGAAAAAAAAACATGTTTTATTTGTGTCAATTCTGAATACAACTCCTTTACCAAAATCACATTTTTCCCCCATTTAAGTTCAGACATCAATAATAAAAAAATGTATAGATGGATATTAATAATGATGTCATCACATAAAAGCTGAAGTTTTAAGCTTTCAAATGACATATTATTTTTATTAAAATGTTGTATACTTTCACTTAAAACAATGTTTGAATGCAGATATAACGCTTGAGTCGATTTGCTTGCTCGCGAGTGTATTACTATAGTCTTCTCAGAAAATGCAAAAAATCGAATCGAAAAATGCAGTAAATTTGTCACAATTCTTTTAAAGTAACTCAGCCTGCTCGTGTATTTTTATAAACGATGTTGTTCATTGCTCTGTATCTCGAATACTGGCTAGGCTAACGGTTTTTACAGTTGCTACGAAATAGCAGGTATGCAGTAAGGCCCAGACCCGCCATCCCTTTCCCCACTTCTCTATGAAATACGAAAAAATTTAGCCCATCAAGAGGTCGTAGGTCACTCAGGTATATAATTTATCTTAAAATAGTAATAAATAGGCATCTACGCATATAATTTAAAGAAGATTCTACAACTTTCTCAAAATATTGTAGATGTCTTATTAAATATTACTTTCATAAACTTATTTAGAAAAAAACTGATATTTTGTCGGGTAAAAATTCGATTGAAAATTAGGGTGTTTTTTCGATATTCATTAAAATAAATATTTCAAATCAAATAAATTACAGCGTATTTAGGACATAAAAAGGTACGTTTTCACCAAATTTCTTTTTAAAACGTTTTTTAAAGAAAATTTACCCCCTGGACGAATCAAGATGTCCGGGGGTTTAACCCCTACAGGTTTAACATCTTGATTCGTCGTAAATTTGGGGGCAAAACCGCCAAGTTGGCAATTGATCAACTGATAAAAACAAAGAGTAATCAAAGACAAAAAGTTGTTTAGTAACAGGCGTTATAAATTCGCATAAAATCCTATAGAAAATGTAATAATATACAGGTATTCAAACTAGGACAAGATTCACATTTATATTGAAATAATATTGGCCATTTTTTCCACCCATTGGGGAAAAACACGTAGGTACCTATACATTTTTACCGCAAAAATTCAAATTATTTAAACATTTTATATCGTGATATTTTCTAAGAAATATTACATAATTTTCCTTATACTACTGCCATGTTACTTCATGTATTCCTAAATTTATAAATAATGCGTGGCGCATAATCTTAACATTAAGTACATTTATCCTTAATGCAGTAGTATTTCCAAATTTGTCTCTGGATGTTGTATGAAATCAATTGTGGTAGTTTGTGTTTTGACAAGTTCTAATATAGAACTTTATTATCGAATCACGAATGACCACAGATTTATTTGAAAGTCAGCGCCAAGTCTCTAAAAATCACTATTTAAAATTAATTTAATTTTTGGCGCACAAAATGACTATAAAAACAAATAAACCCAAAGGCACGTTTACGTATGTATTTTTATTTTTATCTTATAGGATTTATATGAATACTATGGAATAATAAAACATTATATTTGTTACAAATGTTTAATTCTTATTTAATACAGATTTTTAGTATTTAAAATAAAAATAGCTTTCTCTGATAAATATATAACAATCATTGTATTTTAACGCAATTTTCGTCAACCTTAACATAACCAGTGGGGCAAGTATCACCATCAATGAAACTTCTGTTTTCAAAAGTTATGTTGTTACGAGTAAGAGCTATATTGTGCGGTTGTAGAATAGAGTTATTTTTGTGATAATCTTCCATATTCTTCGTGCTGTCTTGTTCAATGCTATAAGACGATTTAGTATCGTCAATTTTTTTCACAATTTCATTATCTTTACCGCTTGTCAATTTTTTTGCGGGCTCTTTCAAAGCTGACATTTTTGTATTGATGTTGCAATTTGCTATCACTTGTGATTTATTTGAATAGGATAAACTTTCCGAATTTTCGAGAGGTCTATTCAATCTGTCATGCAAGACTGGCGCGTTAATCGATCTGGGTGATAGTTGCGATTGTGCACATTTTATAAGCTGCGATATTACTTCCTAATTACTATAATTCAATGATGACAGCCACAGGAAAACATCAAAATGGCCGATTTTCCTTCCTTTTCATTATCATTATCATATTCAAATCCTTCGGCGTATGTGTATTCCGTGGCGCTGACAATTGTTTGATTAAATACGCTAATCTCAGGAACTACTAGTTCAATTGAATTTTTATGTTGGATAATCCTAGTTAAGGTTGGCTCACTATAACCTGTTAATGTTATTAAATTTCTTCTACAAAAGTTTTTTTATAAACGTGATATTAATATTTATTTCAATAAAAACAATGTTCATCACAACTAATTGAATCTGTTTGACTTCAATGATCATCTTAGGAGAGATTATATTTTAAAAAAAACATCGCAACAAAATAATGGTCAAATATCTATAATTAGATGACGCGGCTGACTTTATTCCGCCTAACAGTTAATAATATCGTGTTAACTTTAGTTAAACTTAATTTGGGATTCCATTAAGGTAATAACTTTACACCACCTTTTTTTGCAAATACAGAAATGTTTTATTTCGTTGATATTAGAGGTTTGGATGCCAAAAACCGCCATATCGCCTTTCGTGACATATTTGCAGATATATTTGATCGACTTTGACTTTCTTATTTCGTCAACAGATGGCACCACATGCTGTTTGCATTCGTAAAATTAATTAATTTATTTACTGTTATTTGATAACTTATCCGATATTTTATTACTTATTCTGCTATTCGGAGTGGAGAAGAATCCACCAAAAAAGAGATCACTAACATCGGTCCAGCCGATCTTGAGTTATAAATGGTGTAACTAACACGACTTTGTTTTATATATTTAGATGAGCGCCTTTATGACATGAGCGGGATAATTAACTCGGGTGAATCAGCGGGAAACAGATAGCCATTAATAAAAAGCATTTACGCCAAAAACCCTTATTATTATTAAAATGTTTGTTGCATCAAAAAGAGGTTTTTGAGGACATGTGTTGTGGCTATCTATAATCCAACTTTTAATATCCCTAAGTATCAATTAAAATCCCCTTCAGTTTTTGTTGTACACTCAGTTTAAGAGGTAATTTTAAATATATATTAAAAATACATTCAAGTAGTATGAAATAGCTGTTATTTCGATCTTGGAATGTATTACATTATTATAGCTTTTTTGATATTTCAGTTATGGCCACGCTTGGACTTTATTTTAAGTTTAAATGATGGGTAGAGACTTAACATAAATTGTATAGAATAGTGGGTTTATTTAGAAAAATTATTTTTCTTTATAAAAGTAGGTACTCCCTATAAACATGGATGCTCAGCATTCTGAATTTGCGAGCAAAACCTCCAAGTTCGCCTCACTGATCTATATATATCTGATACAAACAAAGAGCAATCAAAGCAAAAATTTTATTGCTAACAGGCTTTATAAATTCGCATAAAATGCGATAAATCTTATCGTATTTTACCTATTGGGGAAAAACATGTAGGTATACGTTTTACCGCAAAATTTTATATTTTTTAAATAATAAGAAATAATGCGATGGGCATAATTTTAACATAAGTACGTTTATCCTTTATGCAGTATGTGTTACCAAAATTGTCTCTGGTATATTGTATGAAATCAATTGTGGTAGTCTGTGTTTTGCAAAAAACTCGACAAAAATTGTTCATCTCTAAATCTCACCATTATAATGAATTAATATCAAGCTCTTAACTAAACTCAATAACAGTACTTAAAATAAATTTAATTGTTAAATAAATTCAAAGGCGCGTTTTACGTAAGTATTTTTTATTTAATCTTATAGGAAAAATATAAATACTTACTTAAAATTTAATAATATGAAAGAATAAGTCATTATTTTTGTTACAAACGTTTAATTCTTACTTAATACTGATTTTTAGTATGTAAAATTTTATTTTTTGCAGGTTACACTGATAAATATATAACAACATAGTACACCAATTATTGTATTTTCACACATTTGTCGTCAATCTTAACAAAGCCAGTGGGGCAAGCATCACCATTAATAGAATCTCTATTTTCAAAAGTTATGTTGTTAAGAGCTATATTGTGTGGTTGTAGAATAGAGTTATCTTCCATATTCTTCGTGCTGTCTTCTCCAGTGCTATTGGACGATTTGGTATCGTCTGGTTTATTCACAATGTCATTATCTTTACAAATTGTCAAATTTTTCGCGGGCTGTTTCGAAGCTGACATTTTTGTATCGATGTTGCAGTTTGCGATCACTTGTGATTTATTTTGTGAGTTTACCGTCGCATTTACGAGAGGTCTATTCGATCCGTCATGCAAGACTGGCGCGTCACTCGACCTAGATGATACTTGCAATGGTTCAGATCTTATAAGCTGCGATATAAATTCCTGATTACTACAGTTCACTGATGACAGCCACAGGAAAACCACAAAGTGTAACATGACCGATTTTCCTTCCTTATCACAAATCGCCCGGCATGACGTTCAACATTTTCAAATCCTTCGGCGTATGTGCATTCCGTGGCACTGACAATCACGTAATAAGCTGTTACGTATTGTAGTTAACTTGAATTCCACTTTTTACAATGATGCCGTGAGCGCAAACGATTAGCTTAGAGGTAATAAAAGGAGGTATAGTTACAATAAGATCGACCTTGTACATTTAAAGTTATTATATCATTGTTCTCGACAACGTAGGTATGATATCACTTACTCATCTGTTTCTTCGTTATATTCTTAAATATTTCCATTTTATCTGGGAAATCCTTGGGTTATGAAGAAATTTTATTCATGATTTTTTTTATTGTTATCACGGTTCCTAAAATGAAAAAAAACCAAGAATCCTATTTAACCAAAAAAAGGTTTATATAAACTACATACCTTTAAAAAAAAAGAAGGTGGATAGAAGAAATAGAAGCGGTAGCAGGAAACGAATGGAGAAAGAGAGCCATAGACAGAGTCAGTTGGAAAAAGCTGGAGGAGGCCTTTACCCGTGAAGGGGTTCCAATCGACGGTGCTGAAGGAAGCTAGAATAGCAAGCAAAAAAAAATATATATAAAAATTTAAAATAATCTAAGCTGTGTATTATAATTTGTTTTTGTCATGATTAGAAATAAAACGGGCTTTATTATTGTTATTATTATTACATACCTTTAAATCATCAAGGAAATCAATGGACTGTACCTATAATGTGTATTCAAAGTGCTGGTTATATTCCTAAAATTCGTGGCGTTTTTACGACACCTTTTGTTATATTTTTATGATTTAGCTTTCGGCTGTAAAAGTTTGCCTTTTACACACAAAATACTTAATACACCTTTCTATATAAAATACATATAAAAATATGATTCCATTCTTTGTTTTAAAGAAATATTTACCTTGAACCTATTTTATAATCCAAGGAAACGAAGGTTTAATTAATACGCGAATTGAAATTGAGATGTAAATGTCTAAAGGTGCACTTACACGGGCAACTAAAATTGCTCAATTCCAGTCAATACTCGTCAATTATGACGTCACGACTACATCAAGAAATTTAAGGCAACGGCAACAAGCATCAATACTGCGCAATACAATATTGAGTGACATGGCGCAACTTCATCAACTAGGCAATACTGTCATACACGGGCATTTCAGTTTTCGCTCGCTATGGACGACATTGTTCTTGCAGCGGCGGCTTGTAGCGCTTTTTTTATTATTAATCAAAAACAAAAAAGAAAGAAAAGGAATAGGCGTATCTGGGTGCGATCGTTTTTGGCAAAGAGGCCGCAATTTTCATTGTGTAAATAATTAGATGACATATTATTCAAAAACTTTACTAGAATGTCACGAACAGACTTTGAATTACTGCTGAATAAAGTAATTAGAAATTTTTATTATTTAGACCTCTCGCTCTCCTCGCGGAAGCAAGACGGCAAGCCGCAAAACAAACAAGTGCGAATGAGATATATACAAAAATTGCTAGGAATTTCCAAGTCCGTCAATATTCGTCAATTCATATCTGCGACATTGAGCGATATGAAATATCTGGAACAATTAGAAGCAATATCGCCAAAATAATTTATTGAAATTTATTAAATTTATTGAAATTGCTCCATTAATTGCTCCAGATCGGTCCATTCGTGTCGCCGAGCAATTATTGCCCTCGTGTAAGCGCACCTTAAGGTATTACAGGATTACGTATGGACATAATATGGCATATTCTAAGAACTTCTATTACTCATAATGACATTGTTACATTGAAGGAATGGAAATCGAACAAATATACGTTACTAGCTGACCGGGCAAACGTCGTTTTGCCATATACATAATACAGAAAACAACATTAATAATAAAAGCAAATAACGTCGCACTAGGTCTTTGTTAAATACGTAGTTCAACTATAAATGTAACAGGAATGTTATAAATGAAATAATCTTTATCGGTCTGGCCTTCATATAATATATCAAAGATTTATATCGCAATATATATTTTATGCCAATGTCAGTAAAAAGAAAATTATGTAACACGTGTATACTACTGTGTCTCACTTATGGATGCCAAACCTGGTCTACCACTATCAAAAACAATCAGAAACTTACAGTTTATCAACGGGACATGAATCATACGGAAGCGTGACAGATGACCGACCACAAAAATAAGGAAAAGGACAAAAATATGCAATGTAATTAACAAAATTAAAAACTTTAATGCACTTGGACTGGGTAGGCAGAATGGTATCCCAGAGATGGGAGAAGGAAAAGAGGTCGTCCAATAAAGAGATGGTAAGACGATCTACCGGAAGGATGGAGAATATCAGCTTGGGAAAGAGTAACAATAAGGGGAGGCCTATGTCAGAAGACAACCTGACCAACTAGTGTATAATAAATATAGTTAATATGTATGTTATCGCTTAGGTTAAAATTATGTAAATGTATGTATTTGGTAAGTGAATAAAGGCTATTCTTATTGTATTTATTTTATTTTCTTAAATTGTATATAATACGAGGTCAGTGAAAAAAATTACACAGGCTAAACGTTTCCGCTCGGTTGTGGTCTCGGGAATTTCCTTGAAATAAATAACTTATAAGTAGCTTTCATTTAAATTCCAAAAAATATTTCTTGTTTAACTCAAGTAACAGGTTTAGAGGCCACCAGTTCCACTTTCTAAGTGTTGTTTAAATTTCTAAATATATACTTACCTTACTTCGTTATCACCTTTAGACAATCCTTTATCTGCTTGATCTCTTACCATATATATAAAAAACCTAACTGTCGTAGTCTTTTGTTCATCTCAAAACCAATATTTTAGTGGGAATCTGACCCAGGAAGCCAGACACAAAACCGCGACCGTGGTCACATATTATCTGTTACTTTGTCTAATAATGTTCATACTTACCACGTTTTAGTATAGTGATGGTCCGAAATTCTCTTACAGCTTTAAAACAAGGGCAGTAAATAAATGTAGGTTCTACATGAGCAGTCTTTTTCAATCAGGCTTTTTGTCTATATTATTCTGGTTCTTGCCGGAGTATGTTTTGAACGATACGTAGCTTAATAAACAAAGCTACAAAAGCATTTAATGATATCAACAATTATTTGTACAAAAACAAATGAACTCGCACGAAAACAGGCTGAAAAACGTATCTTCATTGCACATTAGGTACACAAATATATCATTCAAATTGGTACACTACTAAAAAACTAGTTTTACCCAATAGTTGAGCACTGGCGGAAGAAGATTCTGACAACGTAGGCAATAAATAATATACGATAAAACATATTTTTATTATCATAAACATATTAAAAGAGCAAAATCTTCGCATAAAACACAAACACTTACGCCTAATCATCTTTAAATCTTATATCAAGGTTCCCCACGCCGTCTTCAATTTGTTTTTGTTTGTCTTTATTCGTTTCTCGCTTTGGTTCTGTGATGTTAATTTTCTGTCCGCCATAGTTGTACTCATCCGGACTTAGTGGGACGAAGAATGGTTCATCATTATCTAGTTTTTTCGTTGTAGTTTCAACCGGCTGGTCATAAGGTTGTTTTGTGGTGACCTTTTCTGGTGTATTACTTGTTCCGTAGTGATTTTGATTGCCAAAATTATTGTTAGGGATATTATTGGGTCGCTCGTAATTATTTTGGTTGTAATTATTACCGTTTGGCCGTCCATAGTGACCTTGATTATTATTTCCTTGGTTATTTGGGTTTCCATAATTTGATTGTCCGTTATTGTAATGCCCCTGTCCATTTGAAGTATCAGAATTTGATTGTCCGTTATTGTAATGCCCCTGTCCATAGGAATTATCAGAATTTGATTGTCCGTTATTGTAATTCCCCTGTCCATTTGAATTATCATAATTTGATTGTCCGTTATTGTAATTCCCCTGTCCATTTGAATTATCATAATTTGATTGTCCGTTATTGTAATTCCCCTGTCCATTTGAATTATCATAATTTGATTGTCCGTTATTGTAATGCCCCTGTCCATAGGAATTATCATAATTTGGGCGCTGGTTATTTGGTCGATATCCATTAAATGGAGGCCTATTTGGTCGATCAGGTCTTCTATTATCTTCTTCTTTAATAATAACAATTACTTTATCTACGTTCTGAGAACCTGGTGGACCTGGATTGTATCCATTTTGATGAGGCTTCTGATGGAATCCTGGATCAGGTCGTCGTTGTTGATGAGCGCCAATATGGCCTTCTATGTTGAGGTTAATGCCATGGGACAGTCCCCCCAGTACTGAACCAGCTAGATCATGAGCTGTAGAATGTATTTTCTCATGAGTGGTCGAGAGAATATCACCGAGAAGTCGCAAGTGTCCGCTACACGTAAGCACAATTGTAAGAAAAAAAAAACTTTATATTTAATCATTGTAAATTCTAGAACTGCGACGCGTCCTTTGTAAATCACCCGGACGACTGGCTTGGTGTTATTCGCTTGTTGCTATATTCTCTTTAAATAAACCTGTTTGTAACTTTATTCAACGAAATACATATGAAGAGGATATGTAAAAGCTAAACACCAGTTGTAAACATAATTGGTCAGCGAAACAGGTTTTTAAGATGGCACGTCTTAATTGTCAATGATAATAGTGTCATTTAGCTTCAAACTTAATGAAAAAAATTGACCTAAGCTTCGTGTATAAGTTACATTACAAAGGTCAAAGGTCGACCAACTCCACCTTGAAGCAGATTCAAGGTGTAACGGGAAATTTAAAAAGGGTATTTAAAACTAGTTTGTCGGAAATCATCGAATATAACCCAGGTATTATTGTTAAATTTGGCTTGTTACAGAAAGAAATAATTGATTCCAAATCAACATTAGGTAATTCATTGTTTCTTATGACTAATCAATTATAATTTGTACTAGGAAATATTCCATTATATCTTAGTACTTTTGATATTATGATTGGGTAAGCTAAGCTTCCAAATGATTTATAGATATATATTTATTAATTGTAATAGATTTTATGTTTTATCAGTTACCACAAATACAAGAACCTAGAAAGTTCTTTTTGCTACGCTAATGCTAAAAACTAGGTTATCAAAGCATTTTATTTAAGAGATAATGACGGTTGGTTTTTATTATTATTTAATTTTTAATTAAAGCTGTTAAAATACTGCCCTTTGTTTTTAGTACGTCAACATTTTCAACAATAGAAACACAACAGGCACTTAACTCAAATGTAATTATACTTTTGTAAATTAAAAGTTTACATAAATACAATGACTCACTAAAAAATAACTGTTCGAATCTTCTGGGTTTTTTTGCACTGAATTGCCAACATTAAATATGCTTAGTTTACGTGGAAGACAATAATGGTGACCAATAAAATTGGCAACAAAAAATAAAAGTTAAGACATATTTGGTTGTATAAAAACATGTGTTTCGTATTAAATCAATGTTAAATTAAAGACCAATCAATTAAATGAGCGTACGAAGGTATATTAATTAAGAATCTTAATAAAATCCTCCTTTAGTCAAAGAAGAGCGAAGTCTGTCAGATCCGTAGACTGTTTTAAAATACAGCTTATTGTGTCACTTTATAATATACTACCATTATTTATATGAAAATAGTTGGATTACCGAAAGTTCTCATTTGTCTATTTTCATTAACAGCGAAAAAAGTCAGTTAATGATTTAGTTTTTATGAATAATGGGATAAGCTTCTTGATATTCAGCTCCAGCAATACTTCGATCACCATACAGTATCACCATACAAAACTTGTTTTAACACAGGCTTTTTCCATTTCCGTTCCGGTGTTCTGACGTTAGTCACAGACCTCGATTATAAAATTGGCGGGGATTTCTAAAATGCTCTATTGAATGACGTTTATAAAAAGTACGTCATAACTCATAGACGAAACAAAAGAATATCGCGATGGCCTTGCCTTGTATTGATATGTTGATAAATTACACATGTTACTATTCCACAATAGGATTTTTTTTAATTTGGCGAAAACAATTAGCCAACATTGTGGATTAAAAAAAGTATTTCTTCTCTTCATAACTTCAGGCAGTCATTCCTAGGCATGCGTTTCACATACGAACTCCCTATACTAAGATTTGTTATCTACTTTTACACATCGATCACTTATTTTGGTAAATCCAGATGGGCATTCATCTCCTTTAAAAATATTTAACTCTAATGGCATCGGGTCTTTTTCATAATTTGCTTCACTATTATTACTATTTTCAATGGTAGGTTGATTAAAATAATCATTTGTGTGTTCTGAGTTATTTTTCAGGTTCGTTCCTTTATAAGGTTCAATTTGACTTCTATCATAAGTACTTTCATTGGTATCCTTCACAGCTGCTTGAATAAAAGACACATTATCCATACGAGGAATGAGCGCAAAATTACGAGACACGCTCTGTTGATTTTCTTTTTTTATCGAATTAATTTTATTTAAATGATAGATTTTTCTGTCTGATGTATGATTTTTCTTCGGATTGAAATTTTCAGTTTTAGTTTGCTCTATAAAAGTCACATTAACTATGTCATATCTGTACTGGCTTTCGGTTTTGTTAGTTGTTACACTGGGATAGGCAATGCACTCGATCACTAAGAATAACACAAGCACAATAAATATCATAATTTTAAAAGATCGCCTATAGCGTTGGAACACAAGTGGTCGATTGACGCTACCACAGTTTGCTATTCATATTCCACTAAACCTGTTCTTAAAACATAATTTCACAGAAATTGGAGGACGACAACGGAAATAAACAATTATGTACAGTAAGAAAAACGTGACGTATCTCCTACAAGTATTCGAAATTGTTAAATTCAAATGGCGTACACTAAAAAGATTACAAATTCTTATATTCTAACGATCTTATTATTCAAAAATCTCAGGTTAATTGATATCTTTATTCGCTGGCACCAGGCTGATAAGAAAGAAAACTTTAAAGTTAAGGTAAGTATAATTAAATTAAATAAAAAAAGCCTATACTTGAGTAAAGGCTTACATTTGATTTCAGGCTATTTATTGTATTTAAGGTTGTACACGACCTCATCCGCGTATCATGAAGGTAAGAATAAGGAATTAAAATTGTGGAGTTTGAAATTTTAAAACAAATAACTAGTACTTACTTAAGTACTTTAGTTTATTATTCGAAAATCGTTTACAACCCGGATCTTAATGAATCATATATAATCATGGACAATATGACCATGGAAGGCTGACCACAATGCAAAAAAGTGGACCGTGTTTTTCCTAAAGTCGCACGATACGTGACCACAGTGATATATTAACGTATTTATCATCAATGTACAGCTTCCTTTGCATGCATCATTCACCATCGCTATCTGGTGGTCCTTGAAAAATTCCTGTCGTCATCGCATCCCCGGTTTTCTCTTGCCTGGTTGCGACTTCAGCCAGGACCTTGGGGCTCTACCATCTGCCAATCAAAGCAAATCTCCCAAGCACTAGAGCCTGTTGCATTTATTAATTGGACGATATTGGTGTTATACAGATTTATTGAGGGGAAAACGCCATACGCCGTCATTGTAAACAGGGCAAAAATTCTTTAAAAGAATTTTCCGCTGGAAAATTAGGAGAGCACGCATAACCTTCAGAAGTCAGAGCCATAAGTAAGCACTGGTCAGAGCAGAGTTTTGTATGTATAAACGTTAGTCTATTAAAAAATAGTTTGTTAACAATAAAATATTATAATCCAGTATTATATTAAATATTCAGAATGCATAAATTACCTATAAGATGTTAGACATAAATTATACTATAGCAAATTCTTATTTATTTCTGTCTAACGATAGCCATTCGTTTCTTATCTGACAGCATAAGACTCTTATTACTGTAATTTTTTTTTTTATAAGAGGTAAAAGGAGGTTGGAAGAATCCTGGAGTAGAGTGGATAAAAAAATGCAGTAGTCTGGAGGCTAAGGATTGACTAGAATTTACTTTAATTTGATATTAGTTAAATATATATTTTTTAATAGTTGATAAGGCCTTTTTATTTATTGATAAGTCTTATGTTATAACTCAATCCCTTTTTAATGTTATAACGTTTTATTTTATGCTTCTGTCGTTGAAAAAATATTGTCTGTTTAAAATAAATAGTACACTAGCGGTCCCGACAGACCTTGTCCTGCATGATATATGTATATATATATAAAGATATACATAAGTGTTGTATTTACTGACAGAGTATACCTATTTCATAGGAAAGGTAAAAAAATAGAAACAATTTTTTTTATCAAATTATTTTTATTTAACCAACAAACAACATGTATAATAACTGAGATAAATTTTACAATATATTTAAAATTAGTGTTTTAAAGTACATTACCCGTAAAACTAAAACATTTGGTTTTTATTGCAAAACATCTGAATATATATGCATACATAATATTATTGTGACACAAATTAAAACACAGATAAAGATTACAGATATCTATTTACATTAATAAACAATTTCTTCTTAATTTAATAAGGCACGTTAACTTTGGTTACAAAATGTCTAGCTCTAGCAAATAAGTTTTATCTATGACCACAGATCCTGAATCTTTTAGAACCATAAATGTCGTAGCCCAATTGAAGAATAAGTTTTAAGATATAGTGAAGCTAGATTCAAAATATTGTTTACTTCCATAAATTTACATTTACTGCCAGTTCTCAAAGGGCGTAGAACGGACGAGAATGTTTATTAACTGGAAATAAACTCTCCGTTACTCTTTTAAATTACATATTAAAATTAAAGGCCTTGGTGTTCCAAATTCAATTGATACATTATGCAACGTTCCAGGCGTTGATTTAGTTTTGTTTTGATGACGCCGCATTAATTTAAAAAAGTGTGCATACAATTTAAGACTACCTAGGTCAGAAGGAGTGTTAGAGTTTCACTTTCGACCAAGCGTTACTTAGTGGTTACTTTTTAAAATGTCGCAAAACTACGTAGTTGGTCCCAAAGTTCTGTCACTAGCACATTATTTCTACATTTCGAGCAGGATTTTATAAAAAAATTATTGCATTCTATTTTGGAATGTTTGATTATTGTTTTAAAACAAAAAACAATAACTTTCCGTAATTTTTCACGATGGAGTGGACATTGAAAGTAAACCGAATAGTTGTTATTGCGTTGCACCGCTGTGGACACTCGCCGAGTACCATTTTCAAGTTGCTCAAAAATTTGAATATAACACTTAGGTTTGTGTACGGTACTATTGATAGGTACCTTGAAGTCTCCAGTGTTGAGGACAAGAAAAGAATTGGCTGGCCACGCTCCGCAAGAACACCAGCAGTAATCAAAGCTATCAAGGCGCGGATAGTAAGAAATCCTGTCCGAAAACAGAAGTTGATGGATTTGCAGATGGGTGTCAGTAGGAAAACAGTAAAAAAGGTTTTAAATGAAGATCTTGGTCTACGAGCATACAAAAAAAGAGTGGGCACTTACTTAATGCTCGTCTAAAAGCAATAAGGCTTAAGAGATCGCGGGTGTTGTTTAAGCGGTACGCGAAAAACCGACACCGTGATATCCTCTTTACGGACGAAAAATTTTTCGATATTGAAGAGAAGTTCAATAAACAGAATTATACAGTGTACGCTAGGAGTTCTGAAGAAGCTGAAAATAAAGTTCCAAGGGTGCAACATGGACATCATCCATCATCAGTAATGGTTTGGTTGGGAGTGTCCTATTACGGGCTAACTGAGGTGAATTTTTTCGAAAAGGGGGTCAAAACCAGTGCTACAGTGTACCAAGAGACGGTTTTGTATCGCCTTGTCAAAGACATGTCCAGCACCCTATTTGCGGGACATCACTTCGTGTTCCAGCAGGACTCTGCGTCTGCATACAAAGCCAAGACCACTAAAGCCTGGTTTGAGCGTCAAAACATCGTCTTAATTAGACATGAGGATTGGCCTTCCTCCAGTCCGGACCTTAATCCTTTGGACCAGAATTTATGACAGGGCTTAGAGAGGAAGGTCTGTGATAAACCTCATGAAAATTTGGAGAATCTGAAGTCATCTTTAAAAACCAGTGACTGAAATCGACACGAATATGGTGCGTGCTGCGATAGACGACTGGCCGCGACGCTTAAGTGCCTGTATTAAAAATGAGGGAGGTTATTTCGAATATTTTTATGCTTTTTTTATTCCTTAATTAATGTACTAGGAATTGATATATCACTCATTACAAACTGATCAGTACTTTTGTTTTTATCATTATTTCCATTTATGACAGAACTTTGGGACCGACTACGTATATCATTAAACAAAATAAGACTTATATACGTGAAAAGTACAGCAAAACTTTCTGTTTCCATAAAACTTACAGATGCAACTATATATTATACTAGTTTTTTTTATGAAATGGTCGGGCCACGATGTATTAGTACCATCTTAAATATTTAACTGCGTTAATACAAATAACAAAACGTTATGTACAAATTATGGTTATAGATTTTGTTTTTGCATTATTTTCCTGTCATTTAATTGATCATAAAATTCATAAATAATTTATCGAATGGCGGATTTCACATTATCATTTTAAAGACTGATTCATAGCCTGGTGAGTAACTAATAAGTAGTTTACAAAGCTATATATAAGCATATGATTTCGTAATTGTCAAAAAAAAATATTAGCGTAAATTCAAACAACGAACACTGCATTTTGGTGTTAATGTATTATTAGAAACGGGTTCATAATAATTAAAAAAAAATGATAAAAAAATTTGTGTATTTGGGAATCGAAAGCACAATAATTCAAAGTAGCACCCATTAAGGTAATATATGTTTGTCTGTTCAATAGATTTTACATTTTTTTAAATATATTTTTAAAACTCGTAGCATCAAGAAAGAAACCGAGCGTCATTTGTTTGCCATCAATAGATATTCAACTGTTTAAGATTCATATTGTAAACAGAGCTGATATATCATGATTGTGACATTACATTCATATCTATTTATGTACATTGTAATGGTGACTTTATATGTTTGTGTCAAGGTATATTTTAATACACAAACTACTCTTACATCAACAGCTCTGAGCTAAGATGATATGAACATTTCAGCTGTATGAAACTTATAATACAACTTAACTTAATAAATGAGTAAAAAAATATTTAATTATTTTTACATGTGCTCAAATATTCTTAAATATATACGTTTTTGCAGGCGTATGGAAAACTATATTGTGTTACTTCATAGATTAAGAACCTGATTATTTTTCCAAATGAATATAAATGTTCTTTTAACAAAATAAATAGTAATGTTAGTTTAACCTAAGATTCAGATTCAGTTAGCGCTATTTTTGAATCTTATCCAGAGTTGTCAAGCTGTCAAGTAATTTTTCTGTAGAAAGTTTGACATCTGACAGTACAAGACGAGACTGTCAGTACGGCAACTGGCATAAAGATGAAACTATTGCTATTTAAAAAAATACGATAGAGCTGATTATAAAAACTTCTCAGGGAATTTACTTGTTTTTAAGCGAATTCATATATGAACGGAACTTGTCCGTATGAACTTTGAGTAATATTTAATATGAACAATATATAATATAATAACTATATATACAATACTAATATAAAATATCTACATTATTCACCAAAGACTTTAAATCTATTAAGTACTATTGATAATAATATAGCACCTTTTAATCTTAACATTATTTCATACAAAGTGATGTCTATTTCATATTTTTTTATTGCGGGTAGAAACAAAAGTGTCGGTTTTTATTTACGATGCTATACGGTATATCAGAAACATACTATAAGATTTAAGAAATCTGTATTAGAATATATTTATTATATAGCGTCTATTAATTTGCCGACATATTTTTTTCTATTTTACTTTCTCGGTTTTTTTTTGTATCTACAATTAACAAAGTACAAAACAAGGTTTTTCGAGGCTTAAAGTACGCCCCTGAATAAAACATCAATGCCAAGGTTAGTATCTCATTGGCAGTCGATTTTTCTAAAGAAAATAATGCCCCTTTTGTTCCGCTCTTTAGGTGAGTTTCCCCCAACGAAGACCCAAGCTCAGGTAGAGTGAGGTCAGGTAGTGACACTCTTACTCAGCTAAGCTAAGCTTTTTTTATATAACAGGGGGCAAAGGGGCAGTAGGCTCATCTGATGTTAAGTGATACCGCCGCCGATAGACTCACATTGGTAGAGGGCTTGCGAATGTGTTGCCAGCCTTATATAAATTGGTAGTTGTTGGTTGAATTGGTTCGGTAATACTTCAGTGGGCAGCTGGTTTTACATAGTGATGGTGCGCGGCAGAAACTGCCTTAAAAACACAGTTGTGGAACGACGGACGTCGAAGTGATGGTGGTATTTAGCATTCTCAGCTGCTGGTATTCGAACAACTCTTAACACTCCGTGGTAAATTCGGTAGAAGATGCAGAGAAGGTAAACCGGTACTCTGGCCGACATGAGTTAACTATTTACAGAAATATCGGACCCGATTAACATGACATTGACGTACGACATAAATTCGTTCACAATTTAGCCTATGACAATGAACACAAGTTGATATTTGGTGACTTCGAATAATTTATGCAAGCATAATTTAGGGCCTATCTAACGCGCTAAAATCTTCGACTAAGTATTGGACAGCGCTTTTATAGTCATATATAGTAAATGTAGACCTGAAAATGTAAGTTTTTTGCGAATATTTAACAGAAATAAAAAAAAATTATATACAGGACGTCCCAAGACTATGGGATATCAAGGGCAAGTAAGTTAAATATCGTAGATAAGATATTTTGCCGAAAGACTTTATTTATTTTAAAAAGTGTAATACTTACTTTAAACTATTAAAAGATTGGCGATTTGCGTAAGACAAGAGGGATCACATTTAAAGCATTTCATTAATGAATTTCCAAAAAAATACTTAATTGACTTAGGCAGTTTCATGTATGTATTTAATTTGGTTAAAATGATCAATTTCACAACACTATGTTACTTAAGAAGAATTATTATTTATTGCTCATTTTCTTGATCGGCATCAATAAGGGGTGCTTTTTTTCACATTTCAGTCAAGTAATTTTTATATAATCATTAAATGTAGTAATATTTACTTTACTTAATAGTTAAAAGTAATTATTACACTTTTCAAAATAAAATAAAGTCTTCTTTCAGCAAAATATCCTCTACGATATTATGTCCCATAGTCTTGGGACGCCCTGTATATAATTATTGTTATTTAGAGAGGTTTCAAAACTAGTAAAATCCGCGTTTTATTATCATTCTGAAGAATATTAACGATACGCGCAATTAAATGCTAACATTATCGCTAATAGTGGATATTGGAATATTTTTCTCCGAATGCAAGGGACACGGCGTTCGTCTAACATTTCGTTTACTTCGGGAATCGGTCATCTTCGGCGCTCTGTACGAGCTCCTATTGGCCGGTTTGGACAGATCACCCGCCGAGGCCGATTTGTCGAAGACTTTTCTATTGGCGGCTGGGGCCTTAGGCCGGGGTCAGTCAATGACATGTTTTATTTTGACATACAATACGCAAGAGAAGAAGAATCCGAATATAGGTATGACGGACATACCGACTCCTACGGCTGCGAGGATGACCAGCTGATCTCGTATGTGCTTCGTGAACTCGTGCACGCAACCCTGGAAGTTAAATAATATAATAATAATAGCATTTAAATAATACCGCATGATAAGAATTCAGAACCGTCCGATAGTTTTGCTGTTTTGCTGATGATATTTTTTTTTCTGCTTTTCCAAAAATGTCTGGTAACTTTATTGTATGCTTATTTTATATTGTATATATTTTAATTGTATTTTTTAATACGTTTTTTGCAATACTTATGATTACTTCAATTGTCATACATTTTAGATGGAAGATTTTGTAAAATATTCCGTAGATTTAGTACTATGTATAACGTGGTAAACTTGAATAAATAAATAGATAGTCCTGGTACATTAATATTGATAAAGAATCAGGAGATATATGACGGCATTTTTCATGCCTGTAGATAATAAGATCTGAGGCTTTATTGAAACAAAAAATGGATATTGAATGTCATGAAAGCGGATGAAGCGAGAAAGAGATATGTCAGGACCGTAGCAATGTGGAGATCCGTGGTCTCTGCTTACCCCCTCGGGAAAATATAAACGATTAAATTCATTAAAATCATATCAGCCAGGTTGGGGTTATGTTTTCTACCACATTATATGGAACACGTTTATTCGTGTTTATTAATTTATCCTAAACAATATTGATTTTCTATCGGAAACATAGTTTTTTTTTTAAATGTCTGTTATAAGCTATCAAAACCGCTTGAAATCAGTCAAAAAGTCAAAATCATTTATTCATATAGGTAACACAATGTACACCTATGAACGTCAAAAAATCAATATACATTCAATGCTTCTAATTTACATTTACTGCCAGTTCTTAAATCAAGGGCGTAGAACGGAAGAGAAGACCTGGCAAGAAACTCTCCACCACTCTTTTTAATCGACAAGTTTTTATTGACACATTGAAACAAATTTCATATTAACCAACGAACGCTTAACATCAGCGGTTAACGTAGAAGATATTATAGTGAGAACAAAACACTTTAAGGATTATCAAGTATAATGCCACGAAGGTATACGTACATGGTAATATATATTGGAGGGATGGTCCCGCATACCACAGCGAGTGGTGACAGTCTTACAACAGGAGTCAGGAACTAGCAATCTCGGATCATGTTCGTGCCAAGCACTCTTACGCCACTCGGTATATTGGTTCGCCCCACAGCATTTGAACTGAAATTATTATATTATTATATAGTAGAATGTATAAACAATTGTTGAATGAAAAAATCCCGTGGAATAGAATAACTATGGGGTGAAGGTAGTAACAAACTTTATCAAGTTAAAATACAACAGAGTTTTGGTTAATTAGCTTTAATCAATTTTTATTTATTGAATTAAAAAAAGGTCATATATCTTAGATTTATATAACCTTTGGTATAGAATTTATTAATTACAGACAATATAAACTTTAAACCAATTCAAAAATAGAACGTTTTTTACCTTCATACATGTGGCTAAAAACATTTTTTAATTTAGAACGCAACGCGGTCGTAATCTTGAAGGAAACTAAATTCATAAAATCTAACTAAATACTCTTTCTGTCTAATTGTGTTTACGTTGTGATGGTGAGTAGTTGTAACGCACCTGCTCATTTTGGGGTTCCACTTATTTTGTCAAGAGATAGCGCTGCCGTTCCAATAACACAACGCTAGAAGGCAATGACTAACCCCCTTGATCACGGTCAGTCCCGTATTTCCAACGCCAACAGGGGCTTAAACCGAACTGGCCAACTCTACACTCTATAGAAACTATTCAAATTTCAAACTACAAAGAATATAAATCACCCCAATTACCGTGTTCTCAAATAGCTCTCATAGCTAGTGATAAAATATAGTATATATAAAGCACCAAGATTAATAGAAAATTATTGTTTGTTTCTTACCTCAGTCTGCATAATATCCACAGCGTCCGTGACCACAGTATCAAGCGCGTAATTTGTTATGAACGTTGCGTTCAGTTCGAATCGTAGTTCGTCCTCTACAGCCACTTCGTAGTAAAAGGCAAGACCACCCGCCCCCACTTCCAATAAGAATGTGATTAGAAGAAAATATGTGTACTGGAATTAGAATAATTTAAGTATAAAGTATTTATACATAAAATAAATAAAATACATTGATTCGGCAACGGGCGCAATTAAAAGATCTATTCCAAGAGACTCTAAAGAAGGAATAAGTATTAAAAAAATTGAGAAAATAAAAAACAAAAAGATAACATAATCAAAACTTATTTACAACGTAGTAATGTTTCCTTTGTGACTGCCCGCTTCACGACTTTAAACGAGGTAATAAAGAAATGTTAAGGGCCTTTAAAAGATTTTACCATATCCTTGGCATTGCAAGTGTCCATGGGCAGAGTTCTAAGGTCTGTCTAAGCCAAAAACTACATATGTTTATTGTAAAGCAGTTTCTCAAGTCGTATAACGTTGTAAGAATTTAATTTATATATTCACGCCTTTATCCCAAAGAGCACGGATCTCCACTTGCTACTGTCCTCAGATACTTCCCTTCATCCACTTTTATGACATTTACCACGCATGCTCATCGGTTATCAGAATTAACGTATGTAAAAATAGTCTATATGTGAAATTTGTAAGACATTCATCAAGTTGCTTTAAAATGCTATCACATTATGACTTAACTATCAGTCGAATGAGGTTATAAACGTTATAATATTTACAACCAGCTTATCATTTGCTTTTATCAAAATATATTCAATTTTCCTTTAGTAGGGCGTCAGGCTCTTTTTTTGTCTCTGTATAGTTTTTCTCTTAATGTACAGGTATTTTTTTTATAGAATTGACGGTATGTAGCAGTTATGGGAGCGTTCAAGTATTACGTAACGAATTTTGTGGGGAGGGGGGTCCTATTGAAAAACGTGATGATGCGGGGCGGGGATTGAATTACGCGTTATTGTTAATATTATTTTCGACTTTCCAATAATTTAGCCGGCTTATCAAATATGTAGTAGTTTATTTAGCCTTAAAATTATTAATATATAATTATCCTATGTGTTAGTTAATATTTTTTACAGTTAGTATGTATCAGGAACCCTCTCCGATAAAGGCCTCCTGCAAGGCTTGCCATCTTGATTCTGGGTCCAAATAACTCGGGATATATCCATCCCGAGTATCATTGAGGACCCGCGATCTTTTTGATGTCATCATCCCATCGAGCGTAAGGTATCCTCTGTATCGTTTGCATGATGGGCCTCTCCATGTACGTATAGTTACTCATTTCGTCCACCGGTGATCTGTGAGTCGCGCTACATGACCCTTACCCGCATCAAAGTAGTAATATGACGACTCATTGGTCTAGTGGTTAGTACCCCTGACTGCGAATCCATGGGTCCCGGGTTCGATCCCCAGCTGAGACGAACATCGATGTGATGAGCATTTGGTGTTGTGCTTAGGTCTTGGGTGTTTAAATATGTATTTATATGTCTATCTATATATAATATGTATGTATATCCGTTGCGTAGTACCCATAACACAAGCTTCACCAGCTTAGCACGGGACTAGGTCAATTGGTGTGAATTGTCTTAAAAAAAAATATATATATAATAATTACTTCCAAATAAAGAATCACGTAATAATAGTTCCAGTAAAGATACTCACACACAATAAGCTAGTTCGGTTTTCAGTCTTCAGGCCACAGCATCCAAGTCCACAGAGAGGCACGCCCAACGCACCAGCGATGCACAGCAAGTAGGATATTGCAGGATACGTTGGAGTAGGCAGAAGGGCCACAAAGCGGTGTCTGGTTGCGATCGTCCATGCACCAACTAGGAACACGCCAGCGCCTGCAAACTGTGGTCAAAATAACTATAAGAATGTATGCGAGGGAGTTGTTATAGTGAAAGTGCAGTCTCTATTCGAACTCATAGCTATGAGACTATCCGGCATGATTCGAGTATCGGATAATCATTTTGTCCATGCGTGTTGTTAACGAGAATATAAGTGCGTGCTCCTACTTCACCATGTCTTCTGCTGGTAGAGGACAAATCTTTGGTTTTAATTTATTTTATTATTATTAATTACTTAAGATGTCATGTGGTACAAGGTGTAATGGTTGCAGTTGTGTTGAGGGGAGTTTATTGCCAGTTCTTCTCTTCCGTTCTAAGACCTTGATTTAGGAACTGGCAGTGATTGTAAAATGAGAAGCATTTAATATGTATTTCTTTTTGACGTTCATAAGTGTACATTGTGTTACCTAAATAAAAAGAATAAATTATTTTGATTTGTGTCCCGAAAGTGTTCAAAGATCTTTTTTTGCTCCCTTGGCCTTGACAGCTCAGCTTGGGTTGTTTTGGCGTGCGGTCGGAATTGGCTTTTTCCCGCGACTAGCGCAAGGGCGTCTCTAGCGAGACTCCTGCATACTCTGAGCCTGAAAGGCAGGACGGAAGCACACTGGTGTGCACGAAGTACGAAGTAATGGTCCACGCCCCCATGAAGGCGATTTTTTACCCTAATCTGATATTGATTTTGCTTTGCCGTGCTTTTAATTTGACCCAATATGACCCAATAGCCATCCGGATCCATTAAGACATGTTGAGGCCTACAGGTCTTTTTTGTCGGGAAGGAGTGTTCAAAGACCGACAATTTCTAGCGTTTATATATTAAATAGTCTAACAAAGATCAATGAGAGGATAATTATAGAGTTATTAGACTTAATGTGTCAAAATATTTTACTGGTATTCATTAGAGGCAGAGAGCCAATTAGCGGAGAGGTGCATACTTATATGCGGGTTGGTAATTAAAGTTATGAAATTAACACTTTTGGAATGTGATGCAATAGACACTAAAAACATTTACTTTGTGCAGTTTTTTAGAGCGTTTCAAGTAATAATTAAACCTCTATTGCTTTTTTTTGTAAAGCCTCAACTTGTCTGACAAAAAAATATTTAATGTTATTGGTGGCACATGACACAACCTAGCATTGTAATTCATGATTCATAGCTTTTAGGTTTTTTTGATTTTGTAATTTCATTTTATAAATTTATTTCTGCACTTTACCCTTAGTATTTTTTTTTCCCTACTAGGGTTGCCTGGAAGAGTTCGCTTGTTAAGGATAAGGCTACCCGTTGCCTCCTTAATTTATGTTATCTGAATGTAATGCAACAAAGTCAAAGTCAAGTTAATAACCCACCAACAATAATTGTTAAAATCGCCTATGTACTGGGTATATTAATCAATGAAACAGACTGGACTGTCGCATGTAAAGGAACTTTCAAAACATTATAAAATTATATGTTGTATTAGTTAACAGAAGCAGATTTAATTTAAAAACACGAGATTACACACGAAATTGAATTTACAAAAAACAACAATCAAAAGATTAGAACGTGTAGGTACTTTTAAACTTTTAAATTTACTGAGGGTAGGGTCCGTTCCGCACGAAGTCTCGAAATAAAAGTGAGTCAACGCCGGTTTTGCTTCGCCTTATATAAGTTTCTGGTCCAAGATGACGTCAGTCCGCTAACAGTATTATTATATATAATATTACCATAAATTAAGGAGTGTCCCTATCCAATCTTCATGGATTACTCAAAATATTTTGAGTAATCTTCCTTGATTCTTTAATGTCATGAGTCATGACTCATTATCGATTACATCGACTTACAAATTTCAAATATAGACTTTGGTTTTACATACGTTAATTCCCATAACCGATGAGGATGCATGGTGAATGTCATGAAGTGTATGACGCGAGAGAGGTAAGTAAACCATTGCAGTGGATTACTCAAAATATTTTGAGTAATCAAGGAATTCCTTGTAAATTAATAATTGCAAATAAATTAAAAAATGGCAAATAATTATCGAATTATAAATATGTCTTTAAAAGGCCTATATGGCAACAATTTAAAACATTGAAGGACTTAAAAAATATAGCTTATTTAAAACTTTTTATAAACACGATAGTAACAAATACAGTTTGATGCTAGTTTAAACTTACAGATAGTTAGTTAGGTTAATTATAGCTAGTTTTACATTTGAACAGTTTTCTATGTGTTTTCCTAATTAAACCAGCAGGATTGCATTTATTGCCGGAGTGGTCTTGAAATTGCTGCCAATGAAAATGAAACTGTATTATAGTAGAAAAGAGTTCATAATATTAAGTATGGTAAATATGTGTATTTAAGGCATGTCGACATCGAAATGTATATTTGATAAAGATCAAATTTTGTTGCATAAAATAATAATTAGACTTCTTGAATATGGTTAAATTAAATGGTAAATTAGAAAGAAATATGCATAACTTAAACATCTTTATTCAACTTGTATAAAATAACATGGAAAATCAATTTATTTTCCATTTGTTGCCATTTTTACAGTCTCAGTTTAGAGGTTAAAAAAATTAAACCAATGATTTATCCAATTCACATACCTCATCAATTAAGCAAACTGTTACATCACATTTTGCAAGAATCAATTACTATGATATAATTGATTCAGTAGGTAAATTATCCTTCTTTATCCTTCTAAATTTATAGTTATAGAGATTCTGAATTTTCCTTATTTCTGTTACATACAAGTACACATTGTTATCCATGTACACAAAAATATCAATATTTAATCCAATCAACAATAATCTGATTCAAAATTCACTGAAACTATGTAGAGTATAGTTATACGATTAAAATAATACAAGAATAATAATTGGAAAAGTAACATTACAAATTAAGTTAGGCATTCAGTCAGATTTTTTCATTGTAAGCAAAGTAACTTTATTTTTCTTATTAAAAAAAAACAACTACTTGATACACTTTTTGGATAGGGGCTATCTGGAATGTACTAATACTGTATACCCAATTTAAAGTTTAACAGTAAAACATAAGAATGTAAACTTACCAGAAATATGACATTAAAAATATGAAGAACACATTTTAGGAAGTTGACGCTACAGCAGTCTGCATCTCGAGATTTTCTGGGTTTAATTGTCTTTTTCTTTGATATCAGTGCACTGGCATCTTTTTTTTCACTTGCCATTATAGCCAAAAGTTTTTACTGACAATTCTCTTGTGGCCGGGGCTATCTCATCTCGTAGATGTTTTGAGATACCTGTAAAAAACAGTAGAGTAAAAAACATACCCGTTAGGATAAACATGTACATGTAAAGTGGATACTTACAATTTAAGTTAGAAGCTTTGAACGGGTGTGAACATGTAAAACACGTTTAAACATACAATATTTATTCAATTTATTATAATGGAATACAATAAAGCTATAAACAAATTTCTCAAAATAGTTGAAAAGTATTACAAATAAATGTAACAAAAGAAGTAAAAAATAAACTTGATAGAAAGTTGCAATCATATATACACTTTTATATAAAAATTATTGAAAATTCAGTCCATTTTCATCACATCCTTTCCAATCCTTCAGTTTAAAAATTAATAAAAAATATAAAGGTGTCCACTCTTATTTGTAAATGTACTCACAATACATAAAGTCAATATAGCACAATGTATTAATTTCCTAACAGCATGTTAATCATCATATTGGTGCAGCGCACCTTCTAGTTTATCTACGATTTTTTTATAAAATGTAATCTGCTGTTTTAAGAATTTCTGCATGGTGGCTTTTATATCAACTGTTCTCTGAGTTTTGAAATGATTAATTTCGGCAAGCAGGGCATATGAAATGACATCAGTTCGTCTCTTAATCTCATTTAATTGGGCTATTTCCATTTTCTGTTCATTTGTCAACCTTTCACATTCACGTTTCTTTTGTACTGCAGCTTTGTGGTTACCTAGAGAATCAGGGAATGAACCCACAATTCCTTTATATAAGTGAAATTTATCGCCTAAAGGTTCAAAATCATATTTAGGTTGATCCTCATACATTTTACCGATTTCAATATAAGCACCTCCAGTCATTTTAATGGCAGAGGTAAGTTTTGATGTAGATACTATGGTTCCCTCGTCTAAACTCAAAGCATTGCCTAGATTATAAAATGCCTCTCCCGTCTTTTGACAATCAGTTTTGTATGGTCCTTGGAATCTCTTAGTTTGTGCAAGACACATATTCGTAAGTAATTTGACAGATGAATCCATACTGCCTATAAAGGTATAGCATTGTTCAGTAACAACCTCAACTTGTGAATGCAATAAAGCCTTTTCAGGTACAACTAGTGAAACACAATAATTTAATCCAAGTAGGTTATCTCTTTCAGCTTGTCGTTTTCCTGCTTTCCAGCGTTTTTCATCAGTGCATGTGAGAAAATGTTGCCATACTTCAGATTTTGATAGAACAGGGTGTTTACACATCCAATCAACAAATTCCTGCAGCTGAACTCTTCTGCGTTCAATTAATTGTTCATCATATCTCCCAGATATTTGTTTATCTGGTAGTGGTGGTATTGGTATCAATGTGAACTTTTCTTGTAAACGCTCATGGAGCCAATCAAAATGTTTATATCTCCGAGAGACTTGAATATTATTAAAAGACGGTGTTAACTGATATGCAATAAAGCTTTTAATTCCTTTGAACTTAGATTCTTTTTTAGGAGATGCTACAGTAACATGATAAGGTTGAGAAATTGGAGCCCAAGAGTAGCCATCTTCATCTTGAACAATATACACTTTTTCAGAATCTGACACTTCAACATTTAAAGTACCAAGCAGATAACTTTCACCACTTACTTTTGAAGATGGAGCAAACTTACTTTTTCTGACCGTCCCCACAGATGAGAATGTGGATGCAGTGTCTTCAATATGCTGATTATAATCACTAATAGGCATACCGGGCAATGGTGCTAGTGGTTGTGGATTTAATGGTGCTTTATTTTGTTGTGGACCAGGTCCTATTTCTGAATAAGTGTCATCATCCCAATCGTCATCCCAACCATCTTCATTTGATGCTCCTCTTTGGTAGTTACTATCACCTGCACTATATTGTTGATCTCCCCAATCATCAGCTGCTTGGTCATATCTTGGTGCTGCAGGTGCCATCTTAGTAGGAGCAGACTCATCTTGGGTCATTTTTCTTACATATGCAGCTGGAAATAGTCCAGTTTCTCCTTTAGAATTCCTTCCTTCCCACCATCCTTCACCAATCTCCGTATTTATGAGGGTCAAAACTTCTCCACTAGTAATTGACATTTCAGTTGTGCCTGGCTCACCTGAGAAGTCATATAGGGCTTGTACTTGGGTCGCCATGATTGACCCTTTTACCTACAACAATAGCAAAACATGTTATTAATTGTAAATTTATATCTAGTATAAGTATATCATGGACTATCTTATCAAGTGTTATCTAGAAAAGTAAGGACTGTGCATACAAAGTGATAATTTTTTATGTTACAAATGTTAAGAATTAAATAGGGCGTTATTCTCGGCAAGAACGTGACACATTTTAGTAATCAAACCAATTAAGAATTGGCCGTAATTGGTGAATAGGCGAGGCGGTGCCGGCCAGACGAAGAATAGTTTTATTTATTTTAATCGGAGAAGTTAATTACTACGGACTACCTATCATAATTAATCATAATATGTTTAAGATGTAAACACACTTGTATGTTACTCTATGTAAAAATGGATAATATTAAATTACACATTTTTCCATTTATAAAAAAATATGATTGTAACTGAATTAAGATTATTATGCGTTATCAGAGAAAAGTAATAAATGGATATTAAAATCTTGTTTTGTGATGGTAATCAATGACGTCAGATTAAGTAAGAGAATGAAAGTGAAAAACATATTCTACTTGAACACCACACATAAATCACTGAGATTATTATAAATTAAAATATTATAAAATCGTTTTTACTTACTTTGTTCACAAAAAATTATCAAAAAGTCGAATAACTCCTCACAGACATTTGTGATTTGATGACAAATTGACAATTCGACTCACCAGTCACCCAGTCACCCGAAGAATTCGTTTATATTTCGTTATCTTTTTCCATGGAAATTCGTTGAACGTGGCAACAATCACAATAATTAAGAGTATTTTAATTGGAGAATATTGTCAAAATAACCAATAGGAAAATAGGATATGATAAATCAGCGAATGGTAAAGCGTTGGTGTTTTTCACGCTAAATTGACATTTGAATTGCAGACTACAAAACTCCTTCAATTTACTAATACTAATTAAGTAATGTATTAACGAATTATGTCATGGAGTACAAAGTGCTTCATAGCTGTATAAATAAAAACAAAAATCCAATAATAATCGTTTTCATAAAATAGGAAAAACTAAGAAGGTGTTGCCAGTTTACGTTAAAGCTTATTATTCTTGAACCTCAAGTTGTTACCGCAGTATCCGCTAGATGTCGCTTAAATTAATACAAAACATTTATATACATAATATATAGAAAATTATGTTCTTATTAATTATATGTACATAGGTAGTTTTATTGATCAACTTACACACGTTAAGTTACTTTAAAAAAAATCAATTTTGAACATTATTAAAACAATATACTCATATATATTTTTATGGGGACCGTAGTATTAGTAAGTTACGAAATTAAAATAAATAATATTTTCATATCGGTGTTGAACCCTTATAAAATAATAATAAGCCAATCCTACACAAACCACGCCTTCGATTTAATTCCTATCTTAATATTCCATTTGGATTAAATTTTTTAATCTAATTATTAAATTTCTCGGGTGGCATACCGAATTCCCTCTTATTTGTCATTTTAATTTCTAGTTGGAAAAGGGGAAATAATAATCGTCTTCTTGCATTTATAGGTTTGATAATTCCTGGATTTTTAATGCATCAGGATTTTTTCCCTATTTTGCTTTACTTTTTTTGTTTTGTATAATGATTTACATCGGTATTGTTATATTTTATTGTCATCAGTCGGCTCCAAGTTTCCTCTTGAAGACTCTTTGAAAAATGAATGTATTTTTTCATTGTTTTACGAATCCTACGAGGTTTTGTGGCTTGGAATATTAAGAGAAATAAACATCTTTCTTAAAGTTTTCTTAGTTGTCCGATACAAGTGCGAGTTTAACGACTTGCGTAAAATTAGTTATAAGATTTTACGTTTTAGCCTCAACTCAATTGAATCGATGTGCGAGTGGCATTGCCAATTTTTAATCGTAAGAAACGATTATACAACTTTTTATTGTATTAACTATCTAAAAAAATCACCTTTTTATGAATAACACACAAAAGATTATGTTTATTTGTGGTATTTAATTGGTGTCAGTTATGGTACTAACGAAATAATATTATTTTCCTTCTATAGAATTTCCCGTTTTTAAAATTGTATCTTTAGCTATTAAATGTTTTGTTCCAACCCGTCCTGTCGCTTTGAAAATAAATAACAGTGACAAAACATTCCGCAACTAACGGCTTATTATATGTATTAGTTTAAATAGTTCTATACAAGTATTAGGGGGATTGTAGTTTACTATTATGAATAATGAGATAATAACTATATAGTATTTTAAAGATTTGGAATTTTATATTGGAACAGTATAAGTTAATGTTGGATGTCTTGTAAATCTTCAATGAGGCATGAACACATTTTTGCATCAACTTTATTAAATTTAAGTCAAGCACTACATGTCAGTCTCCTGGATAATATTAAAACTATACTTTCGCTAAGAATGGAACAAATGTAGTCTGTGACATTTGTTCAAATAAAAAAAATCTATTTATGGTCAAGAATGTGGCCAGTATAAAGTAATTTTATTGCGGTAACCATGAATGTTTTATCGCTCAGAATTTGAAACATTGTTTAGAGGTTGAGAGCTGTTTAGTTTGCGAAGTGTTTAAATTAAAACTTAGGCATTTTTTATAGGTGATACACGAGAACCCACTACTACGTATTATAAATACTGATTAAAATGTGTTTATATTAAAATAGTTACTGTTTTATTATTTAAGATGATAATATTACCTACCTTCACTTGCCATTTAAAATATATATTATGATATTGTAACAGTAGTAGTTGTATTAGATTAGAATTTCCGCGTACCACGAGTCTTTACTAAGTGCAGTTTGACTAAGTTACGTCTTCCTTTGATGTTATCAGGCATACAACCCTATAAAGCAGTGAGATTGCCAGACTTCCCATCCAATATTGTGAAATTACTGCTATGAGCACATGTTAGATTTAGTAAATAATTTTATGATTTAGCAAATATTTTCGTCAGGTTAGTACAGTAGGTTCGGACTGATTAGAAATTATTTTCCCATCTTTGTTAGAATATAAAATTTTTAGCGGATTAGTCATTGATTTCATTTTTGAAAACCCATACTTTTAAGCTTTCCCAATGATGTTTGATTTCCCATTACGCCAGTTTAACAAACGGTAATGCTAAAACCAAGAACGAGTTATATTTTGGTAATCTTATTTTTTTTAAATCTTGATACGCATGTTGCGTTTCGAGATTTAAAAAAAATAAGTGTGCTCTAGCGTACTAATTCTTAAAAGGCCGGCAATACATTGAGAGTGTCCATGGGCGGCAGTATCACTTATCATCAGATGAGACTCCTGTCCGTTTGCCTTGTGTAACATAAAATATATATATATATATGTATATTGACAATTAATCTATTTCACACATTATTTTCTTAAGAATCTAAACATTTCTAGTGGAGAGTATAATGAATATACGCTATATACGCTCATAATATACTATACATAATATACTTTATCTGTGAATGAAAAGGGTGATATTTAATAATGGCCGTCAAGCTATGTTATATACAGCAATAATGCTGAGTCACGGTCTCGATTACCCCCCATTGTTTCCATCTCATGTTTAGTGATAAAACAATAGATGGGAAATTGAATCAATCATAACCTGCCACAATATATTTCGATAAGCAACATATGCTAGCTTCAGGAGTTTGACAAGGTATCATTAGGGTATATTGTTTTATGTTACCGTCGCATGCTTCGCATTAGCTGGATCCAAGAAGTGTTGAATGATAGAAACCCTTAATCGGGACGACAAGGGATGGAGCGCATACGGGCTCATTCCAGGTGTACGTGGGTGACTGACTCCTCTGCGCTGAAACAGCCTCTGCACTAGGGACTGTCGCCAAGGACAAAGAAATGTTTATTAAGGAGACAGTGTTCCTATAATTCTTCAGATATCAATTCTGTTGATGCGTAAGTGCTAATGAATACTGTGAATATTAGTTCTAGGTTTATAACACAGTTCTTTAAAGATGTTTGATGATCTAAAACTGTTTATAAGCTTAAATAAGTTAGACTGCAGTAGAAACTGAAAATCATTCATTAAAATTTGCAATACATATTCTAAGTCATTAATATTTATCGTACATTTAATTACATTTGTTTACGTTGTTAAACTTTTTTCACAAACCCAATTTCTAAAACGTCCTAAATACATAATATAATTATTTAAATATTGCACATTGGAAGCTTTTTTGTAAGACTTGAATCTGATAATGACATGGAGCTTTTATCGCCCTTTATTAACTTACCGTGGGAGTATCAAAATATCAACGGAGCCAAGATGACTTATTTGCTTAGATGTTCACAAAATTTTCAACCCTTGTGTATTTTACTCTGTGGCTTATGTTTGCGGAGTCTAATTAAATTGCGGGTCCCCATTTAACGTTAAGGTAGCCGAATTGCAAATAGAGTTTGGTGAGTTATCCTTTAAATATACTTTGTGTGACAATATATCCGGATTCATGATACAAGAAGAGAGAATTAGAAGTTTAACGAACACTTTGTATTGAAACAGACATATTTCTGGAAGCTCTAAATACATCTACCAAATAGGATTTAACGTTTTGTAAACGGAGTATAAATATTATAAATAATATATTAAAAACCTATATTAGGTATGCACAAAGTTTTAAATTGAATAGTCACATACGCCATAATATAACAGCCATATATTATTCTCCCAGCGATTTTCCCCGATATTTACTGTAAACAGCGAAAACTATTATGACTTAGCAAACAACTTTGTCGCGGAAATGTTACGGTTTTTATTCTCCGGTTTCTTCGATATGTTTACAAATTGATATAGACTCGAGAAAAACAATATTCCGAGTTGATAGCGAATGTTACCATATACTTATATCGATAGATCAGATAAACCGACTCTATTTCTAAGATATGCTGGTTTTCTCGCTCCTTTTCGGGGCAAGCATGAGAAAAATCCATAGGTCCCTGGGTTTGAATTGAAGGATTGAGAAACAAAAT